TTGTTAGATTTTGTTATTGGAGCTGTACTAATTTCATAAAATGAGTTAAGTAGTGATTCTTTCTCTTATTTGCTGAAAATGTTTATGTAAGATTCATGTTATTTTGTCCTTGAATGATGGATAGACTTCATCATTCATCTAGGTCTAGAGTTTTCTTTTGGGGAATTTTTTTTCTTAAGATTTTATTTATTTATTTTTAGAGACAGGAGAAAGGAGGGAGAAGGAGAGGGAGACAAATATCAATGTGAGAGAGAAACATCAATCGGTTGCTTCTTGCACATGCTGCAGCCGAGGACTGAACCCTCAACCCAGGCACGTGCCCTAACTGAGGATCAAACTGGCAACCTTTTGCTTTGCAGGACAATGCCCAACTAACTGAGTCACACTGGTCAGAATGCGGAAGGTTTTTAAGAACAAACTTCATGTAATTAATAGATACAGGCCTATTCAAAAATTTTAGTCTCTTAATTTTTATTCATTGTATTTCTCAAGAAATTTATCCATTTCATCTAAATTGTCAAATATGTTGGCATAAGATAGTACATAATACTCTCTTAAGTTTTTGAATGCCCATAGGATCTGTGGTAATAACTCCTTTTTCATTCTTTATATTGGCTCTTTTTGTTCTCTCTTTGTTTCTTGACCAGTTTAATTAGGTTTTTAACTTTGTTGTTTGGTTTTCCTTATTGTGCCTTTTTCTTCTTTCTATGTTACTGATTTCTGTTTGTTATTACTTTCTCCTTATACTTGCTTTGCTTTTACTTTGGTCTTCTGTTTCTACCAATTTTAAGATGACCCTTGAGTAATTGATTTTAGATCTTCTTTTCTAATATAAGTATTTATAACTATACATTTCCCATTAAACACTTATGTATTTTTATCCCATAATTTTGATAGGTTGTATTTTCCTTGCCTTTTACTTCACAGTATTTCCTCTCTTTCTTTGTTATTTCATCTTTGAAGCATCAATTATTTAGAAGTGTGTCATTTAAGTTTTAGATAGTAGTGGTTTTTCCTAAATCTTACTGGTTTTAAATTTAGTTATTTTGTAGTTAGAAATTATACTCCTTGTGATTTGAGTTCTTTTAGATTTATTGAAACTTTCTATACTCCAAAATATGATCTATCTTTTGGTAAAGGCACCACGTGTACTTGAAAGGATGTACATTCTGAAGATTTGGGATGCGGTGTTGTGTAGATATTAATTAGCCTCAGGAGATCGGTAATGTTGTTCAGATCACCTGTATCTTATGACATTTTCTCCACTTCTGTTCATTGTTGAAAGAGATGCATTAAAGTGTCCTATTCTGAATTGGGAATAGTCTGTTTCTCCATTTAGATCAGCTAATTTTGCTTCATGTATTTTAAAGCTTTATTACGTATATACAAATTTATAATTGTTATAAATTTCCTTTTGTCATTATGAAATGTTTGTCTTTATCTCTCATAATGCTCTTTGTCTTGAAGTCTGTTTTGTCTTATAATAAAGTAGCCACTTCAGCCTTCTTAAACTTACCGTTTACATGGTACAGCAGATCCTTGAATAATGTCCTTTTGTTCACCATTGTTTAATTATAACATTGATGAGATGCCTTAGGAATTTAACTCTTACTTTCATCAATTAGCCAGTGGTAAATTTGGTTTTGTGATACGTCATTTTGCTTGAAGTCACAGAACCTATCAATGACATTAAGTGAGGACATACTGTATATTGTTTTCCATCTGTTTGCTCATTTGTTCATTCTGTTCATTTCTGTTTCCACTTGTTCAGCATATGGGTGTCCTTATATTTAATGTGTCTTTCTGATAGATTTGTCCCCAGTGTGTACTAAGGCCTTGCTTTTACCCATTTTATTTCTCTGCCTTTTAACTAGAGTATATATAGGCCATTAACATTTATTACATTATGGCAATGACTGAATTTAAGCTATTTATTATTTGTTTTTTATTTATCCCATTTTTTGTTTTCTTTTTCTTCCTACCACTTTTTTAAATTATTTGAATGTTTTTAGTAATCCATTTATTACTTTTTACTGGTTGCTCTAGGGATTGTAATATGCATATATCTAACCATTTACAGTCTACTTAGAGTTCACTTTTTGCCTTTTCACATAAAATATAGAAAATTTGCAATCACATAAGTCTCTTTACCCCCACTCTTATCCTTTTGTGGTAGTTGTCAAATGTATTATATTTGCATACATTGAAAACTCCATTATATTGTAACTTTTACATTAAATCAGTCATACATAGTTTAAAGAACTTAAGAGGAAGAAAGTAACCTTCTATGTTTATTCAACTACTGGTATTTATTCTTTTTATTGCTCTTTCTTCATTCCTGAAAATTTAAGTTTCCTTTTTAATATTTTCTTTCAGACTAAAAAGACTTCTGCACATTTCTTTTAGAACAGATATACTGATGAATTCTATTAGTTTCTCTTCATCTCAGAAAGTATTTTGCCTTTGTCTCTGAAGGATATTTTGGTTGTTAGGTCTTTTTTTCAATACTGTGAATATATTATTTCAATGATTCCTTGTTTTTATGACTTGTAGGAAGTAGGTAGTCATTGAAATCATTATTTCCATGTGTGTATTGTGTTAGTTTTTTTCTATTTTCAATTTTTTTTTAAGTTTAGCTTTTAATAATTTGGTTATGATAGGTCTAGGCATGATTTTCTTTGAATTTATCCTGTTTGGGATTTGTTGAGTTTCTGAAATTTATAAAAATTTTGCCTTTAACCAAATTTTAGCAGTTTCTGGCCATTGTCTCTTAAAGTACATTTATTACCTCTATGTGTTTTTCCTCTCTTTTTCACTTCCCAATTACACATATGTTAGACATGTCAATATTTTCACACAGGTCCCTGGGGCTCTATTTGTATTTTTAAAAAATTTTTTCTCTTTTTTGCTCATATTATATAATTTCTGTTGATCTATTTTCAAGTTCACGGACTCTTCTCTGTCCTCTCAATTCTGCTGTGAGCCCATATAAAGCTTTGTTTCTGTTAGATACTATCTATTTCAGTTCTAAAATTTTCATTTTGTTCTTCTTTTTGGTTTTTATTTACCTGCTAAATGTTTATTTTAGGTGTGTTTTCCTTTACCTAATGAAGCACAGTTATACAATCATTGCTTTAAAGATTTTGTCTGCTAGTTCTTACTTCTGGGTCTTTCAGGGTTGCCGTCTATTATCTTTCCCATTGAGAATTGGTCATATTTTGTTGGTTTTTAATGTTGAATAATTTTAAATTGCACTCCTGATGGTAGGAATTCAGTGTTGTATCTGTAACTGTAGACCCTATTACAGTATTCTGGAGAATGTTTTCTTTTAGCAAGTAATCAACCAGTTTATGTTTAGACCAGGGATTTTCAACTTTTTTCATCTCATGGCACACATAAACTAATTACTGAAATTATAAAGCACACGAAAAAATAATATTGTTTTGCTGATCTGACAAAAAGTAGGTATAGATTTGATTCATCTATGCTGGACAGTTATTGTGCTGGCTGCTGTCATTTTTTTAATTTGACAGTCGAAGGGAGAAGAGGTCAGTGCCTCTGACTAAATCATCGGGTATTGCATGTTTTGAAAATTCTGTGGCACACCTGTGTGCCTGCTTCAGTACACTGGTTGAAACCTCTAGTTTAGACCATAAGTTCTGTCCTTTTCCATGAATTGTGGTTTAAATGTCAATTCAACTGTCTAAACTTTTCCTTTATTCCTCTGAGCCTGTTCTGTCACCTGTAGTTCAGGGATCAGTCTGAAACTTGTGCTCGTAGTTCAACTCTCAGCTCAGTTCTTTCAGCCTTTTCTATGTCGGTTTGGGTATGTTCTATACTTTTGTTATTTATAGGTTAGGCTGATACTTGTATATTTTAATCTCAGTTCACTTCTTAAGACTTTGCTGTGCTGGTTTGATTTTGAACTGCATGTGCATAGCTCAGGGTTATTCTTAGACTAGTGTGGGTTCATACACAGAATTAGAATATCCTTCTCCAGCTTTTTCTCCCTTCATGGATTCCCTCCACATTCTTCAATTCACAGGGGCTTGTTTCCTCCTGGTTCTTTTAACCAAAAAGTCAGAGCTTTTATTAGAACTTAGTCACACATTTTCTGCCATGATGCTTGTGAATGACCTGACCTCGAAGGCAAAACTGAGAAGGAACAATGGTTAAGCTGTTCCCCACATTTAGGTAGACTTCCCTCCCAGTCTACCTTCTTTATCTGTTTTTAGAGTATTTAGATACTTGTTTTGGGTCCAGAGATTTACAACTGAAATCTTGTTACAATTTCAGTTGTAACATCAGGAATTTTGAACTGTAGTTGGCTTTTCACTTGCCATTTGGCACTGCAGCTCCTTACGGAGCTTTTATTTGTTTTTGTTTTTGTTTTTTTTTTTTTTTTAATTAATCCTGTATGTTTCTGCCCCATTATAATTCAGTAGAAAATAATTAGGCAAAATTAATGAAAGTTTGGAAGTTCAATAATATTCCAAGAAAATGTTTATAATTTTGCAAAGAAGGAATGAACAGCACATGGAAGTCTATGACTTCATTAAGTTAGTAATATAAAACATTGATGGTATATACTATGTGCTGGGTGTGGAAGATTGTAAAATAATTTGAGTTTACCTTAACAATCACGTGGGCATTAGACTTGCTTCAATGAATAAAGACCAATAAATAACAATAATTTATATTATTTGCAAGAAATACCATTTTTATTTGATTAACATATGAGTAACTTCAAAAAATAATAGCACAGGCATTATGCAATTTAATTTTGAATCCACCTTCAAATCAATATAACTTTAATATTAGTGGTAAATCTAAATTAATGACATTTTACTGTAGTTTATTAACTAATTTGCTTTCTTATATGTTTTAAAATCTTATTTAAGAAAAGTACTTTAATTAAATATATGACAATTTCCTCTTTAGTATTTTCCTTAGGGTGGCTGATGTAGACTTTTCTTAAACTCTCTTTAATTAAATCACAGACACTACTAGAGCAAGAAGAAGCCAGGAGATAGATGGCGTTGAATATATTTTCATTTCCAAGCATTTGTTTGAGACAGATGTACAAAATAACAAGTAAGTGGAAGTTTTTTTTAGAATGTTGTTTGACTTGTTTTTAAGTATATGCATTTCTATCCAGTTTTAGACAATGCAGGGTTCCCTTCCATTTGAAATGTATTTTAATTTTCATAATATTTAAAACCAATAAAAAGGTGATAATTCAGTTAGTACTTGCTAGTATCTAATTGTGACCCTTTCCCCACTATTTGAATTTTAATATATAATCTAGATAGAATTTTATTTTAAAAACCAGCAACTGTGTAGTAGATCCACACACCTCTCTCTCTCTCATTGGCTTTTCAAACAATGGAAATAATGTTAGTCTGTTTGCTTGTATCATGTCCTCTAGCTAGCCCTATATCCCCTCTCCCCACCTTTTCCATTTGCTTAAACATGTATATTTTAGAGTCTTAGGGAGCAATGTGTGTTTTAATGCAGCATTGTGGAATTTTACTGAAACATTGAAATGCTTTTTTTGTGTTTGGCATAGCAATTATGTTTTTATAGCGCATAATCAGCTGCCTTGATTCCATTAGCCACCAACCAGTTCCTCCTTCATTCGAAAGCCAAGCTTGGTTATTCTGTAGAGTGCAGTGAAATTTCAGTAGTTTCTATTGTTCAGCTTATTCACTATTTTATTGCATTGCATTAGTTTGAAAAAGAGGTGATGGAAAACATTAGCGTACTGCTGGACTGAAGTGCTTTTTTCTGCTTAAGTGTAATACAAGCAAGTGTTACTGATTTGAAAATGTAAATTAAAAGATTTTTAAATTGACATTCTGGAGTACTTGGCTCTATTTATTTTATTAAACACAGTAAAAAAATTCACGTTCAGCAAAAATATCTTTTGCATATATGAATTATGTCTTGCTACCTATATATATTAATTCATAAATGAGCCTAATATATTTCTAATTTTCTACAGGTTTATTGAATATGGCGAATATAAAAACAACTACTATGGCACAAGTATAGACTCAGTTCGGTCTGTCCTAGCTAAAAACAAAGTTTGTTTGTTGGATGTTCAACCTCATGTAAGTAAATAATGAACTATTCAACACCCTTCTGGCTCATGTAAGCCACTGTGCTTCCTGTTAGTCTCTCACTGTGGGATAAATGTGAAGTCCACTCCCTTTGGGCATAGATGTGCCTTTGCTAAGATGACAAAGGCACCTCATTAATCTGAGAAGTTTTTGGTGAACAAAAAGCCCATGTTATTCCTAGAAAAGAGGAGGAGGGGAAACCTTAAGATCTGTGTTTGTAAGTCTTGTTTATATTCAGTTTTTGCCAAGTATAATAATTCTTAAGATTTGCTTCGATATGTTTCGTATTTTTAAAACTGTTACATTATATGTATAATGTATTCTTACTTGTTATCATAATTTTTTAAAACTCTAAATAATGGACAGTTTGGTCGTCAGTCCTCTTTCTTTGATTTTGGTTCTGTATATACCCTAGATTTGGTTTTGTGTATATAATGAGAGCAGTGGGGCATTTCACAGCAATTTTATGGCATGATCCGCTTGGCATCCTGGGAAGTCCTATAAATACTGTGGACTGAGAGTGCCGGTGGATAAAGCCATTCAGCTCCTTGTAGCACCATATAGCCTCCAGCAGGAACCTAACCCACAGCATTGTCCTCATTTCCCAGGGGCCAGATTCTTATGCTAGAGATAGCGCACCCTGAGGTGCAAACCTCCAGGAGCCAGAATGACCTGGAGAAGCCCTATGTACCTCAATCAAGAGCCAGTAGGCGGCTCTTAACTTAGGCACCAGTGATGAGTGGGACACACTCTTGCTTGAGCAGAGCCTCTCTGCTGGAGTCCTGGGCTAGTTGTTCCCAACTCCCTACAGGGGGGTGTAAACTCAACATTCTCAGGGCCTCACCAGCCCTTCTGTCCCCTGTACCCCACCGCACTGTAAACATGCACACATACTTAACCTAACCTTTCAGGGGAGTTTATGATTTATATTCATATTCTGAAGAGGTCTCAGCTCTCATTCTTCTATCAACAACCCTTGATAACATATGAGTCCCCAAAGCATAGTGTCAATAAAATATTTGCTGGGGGAGTGTTGAAAAGCTTCATGGAAAGCAAGAAGCTTGCCCTTTTAGGGCACTCTGAAGGGCGGAAGGAAAGAGAAGGAGAGAACTCATGCCTGAAATCAGGAAGAGACTTAAATGGGATGGATGGAAATTTTCATGTACAGAAGATTATCCAACTTATAGCCTCTTTTGGGTATTTGATTTAAAAATCAGTTTCATGGCATTTCTAGCTGCTTCCGTTCAATATTAATTATGGCATATTTCAAAACATTTTGGAAGGCAAGTTACATTTTTCATCATCTTTTCAGGGGGATTATTACATTTAATTGTCAACAACTGATTGAGTAATATATCGAAAGATCGACAGACCTTGATTAGAAAATAATTTTAAGACATTTCCTCCTTGGGAAGAAAAGTTTGTTGTGTGGTAAAAGTTGGTCATGACATTATAGAGAAATATAAGAACTTTGTTTTCTTCCTTGCAGACAGTGAAGCATTTAAGGACACTAGAATTTAAGCCCTATGTCATATTTATAAAGCCTCCATCAATAGAGCGTTTGAGGGAGACAAGAAAAAATGCAAAGATTATTTCAAGCAGAGATGACCAGGGTGCTGCAAAGCCCTTTACGGTAAGTATGATGATGCTTTAGTGAAAATACATAAGCAGCACATAAAATCATGTATGCAGTAGCGACTGCCTTAAGAAGGCTCTAATAGATGAAGTTGTGATCCAAAAATCTACAATACAGAGTTGTATTAAGATACATACATTTTGAGTGATGTATATAATTGCTTTTTGTGCTTCCATGGATGGATCTTCATATCACATTGATTTAAAACTATTTTGCATACTTACAAAATTTTTGTAGGCCACTTATATAAAAGACCATTTAGTTTTCAGACTTCCCGTACTTTTAAAGGGAAAAGAAACCAAAGTCAGTTACTATTCATCATTAATAATCTAGATGAACATTTTAATTTAACATTTTTGTCTTTTTGCATCAACAATATTTAGCATAATAAAGGAAAAGTATAATTTTGTGTATAGAACAAGTAGAGTCAAATAATTATTCAAGAATATTTGTATTTCCTATGAGTTATATTACAGATGGCAGCTGCTGTAAGTTAATGACTTACAGTGATTCCTAGCAAGGCCTTTCGTTTCATTGTTCTTGTTTCTAACTTTAAGATAATGCATTCTACCTTAGGACCAAAATTAAAAAGCGAAGAAATTAAATGTCAAGAGTTTCCCCTCCACCACCCTCACTCTCTTAACTAACTCATCTTTAACCTTAGTCTGTATTAATTTGTATGCTGTTAACTATGGTTATAAAAATACAGATTATACTTGTGATTCCCAATATTTAATAAGCATCTTTTTTCCTCAAATACTGGCAATACATATCCATGCTAAATAGGTATCATGATAGGATGTTAGTTAAATTTCCTGTTGTGAAACACACTGTGACATTCAAATATGGACTTGAAATTACTTTAGTATGTTATAATGTAATGAGTTATTATACTATTTATAAACGTAAAGGTTTCTCAGTGGAGATAATAGATAATAGCATAGTCTTAGGATTTAGCTCACATTTATGTATGGTTATATAGTCTTTAAGTTATGTAATCAACTAAAATATTTCCTGGCTCAAAAATGTGAGTAGGAAGGGCCTCTCACCCACTTCCAGTGAAACATAGGAAGGACTTGATAACTGTCCTTTTATAAATGTACCCAAATCTGGAAAAGTAGTTTATGTTATAAATTCTTTGTTGTGAATAAGCATAAATGACGCAACATCAGAGTAAATGTCTCTTCCCAACCCTCCCCTGTAGCTATTTTAACCTTGAGCTATACCTATAATGATAAGTTAGTGACTAATTATCCTGAACTTCAGGTAAGACAGAAATTTTCATTTTTGTCAGAGCACTTTCATTACAAGCAAATCAGAGAGGTAGTATTAGGAATTATGACTTCTGGAAGGACTTATTAAAGAGGGTAATTTTCATTTCTGGCTGAGGTGAAAGAATGGATACAGAACAGCATTAGATAAACCGGTGATGGAATGTTTGCACTGATGTGAAGTGATGTAATTGCCTGGTTAGTCACTTAAAAAATATACTTCCTTTTGTAGGAAGAAGACTTTCAAGAAATGATTAAATCAGCACAGATAATGGAAAGTCAATATGGTCATCTCTTTGACAAAATTATAGTAAATGATGATCTCACCATGGCATTCAAAGAGCTAAAAACAACTTTTGACAAATTAGAGACAGAGACTCATTGGGTCCCAGTGAGCTGGTTGCATTCATAACTAAGAAAGTTCCATCGTCATCTTTTACAGTAGAGTATATGATTGTATCAGTTACCATTTTGGTGGTAGGGTTTTTTAAAGAAATCTGTATCACTGTCATAGATGTGCAGTCTTGGTTAAAACTGAGTGTTGGTTTTGTTTGCATCTTTTTTACAGCCCTATTTCAAACACAGTTTTTGAGTATAAGACCCAAAATTGAAATCTGCACAGTACTGTATTCTGAGCAAAGCTTTGAACTTTATGTATGTCTTTAATATATAGCTCTTTCTCCAGGATAAGGTTGAACTTTTTAGACAGACATGACTACAGAATAAACTAATTAGAATTCAGTGCTTCAGCTGGTCTCGGACATAGTCACTGCCATCGAGTCTGCATGTTAGCAGTTGAAAGAATTAATTTAGGGCCTTGGCCGGTTAGGTCAGTAGGTTAGAGCATCATCTCTATGTGCCAGGGTTGCTGGTTTCATCCGTGGACAGGGCACATACAAAATCAGGGCACATACAAAGAATCAACCAATGAATGAATAAGCGGAACAGCAAATCGACATCTTTCTCTCCTCTCTCTTTCTCTCCCCCCCTTCAACTCTCCTGTCTCCCCCTCCTTCTCTCTCTAAATATCAATGAATACATTTTAAAAACATTTTTTAAAAAATTAACAGCCTTGAGCAGCTCCAGGCAGACAGGACAGCTTTGCTGTTTCTTTAGCGGATCATCATAGGCATCTTCTTTCTATTCTAAAAAGTGCAACCTTTTTCTTATGTATATACAGTACAGGAAGTCTTCACTTACTGTCATTGATAGTGGGTATTTAGTGACATATAAGGAAACCAATTTTACCATAGGCTAATTGATATAAATGGGAGTTAAATTCTTATGGCATCTTATCAACATTATAATGAAACTTATGTTGTAATTCGAAGACCTGCTATACATTATGTTCATGGCGTGTGCATTTAAAAATCATTCTTAAAGCAATTACTGAACACCTGCCTTAGCGGCCTTCATGTTATAGCTTGAGAAGGACTTGTGAGGACATATCAGCGATTCAACAAATATTTAGTAAGGGAAGACAGGCTTAAATTTTATTATATATGTAACTAAAAATTTTCCTTACAGCATTAATCTTAAGATGTTGATATCATGGGTCAAGAAATGATTGCAAAGGACATTTTTATTTGCATATCCTTAGATTATATTCCTGGCTTTGGATTTTCCTAATAAATTCTAAAAATGTGATTACTATTCTAAAAGCTTTGCTTTTAGAAAATACAGTTAAAGAAAAATTTTCAAATATGCACAATTTATCACCACATGTTTAAATTCTACTGAGATGCATTTCAGGAAACCCTTCATGTATTTTTAACCTATTTATTTATCATCAAAATAATTCTTAACACTGTCCAGATACCATCCTAATCTTGTCATTTTTAAGAAGTTTAAGAAAGGCTCTTATAATGTAAATAATGTAATGGGATCTCTCATTTTTCTTTGATACTGCTGATCTTCAGCAAGTAAATTATATAGCTCAAAATAGTAGAAATGTCCATAAGTTATATGAGAGTATGTCCTGCCATTCTTGCATGCAGTAAGATTCTACCAATCAAAAATCATTGTATCTGGGACTTTCAAACAGAAAAAAAAATATCTTTTATTGATTTGTGAAGCTTAGATGTCATGTTTAAAGAAAAACAGAATGTAGTGGATTTTATATATTTATGAACTCTTTGAAAGGCATATTTTTTTAATTATCAAATGGGGCTATTCATAAAATAAATTATATGTATAAATGGCATAACTTAAAATAGTATTTTATAAGTCAGGGTCAGCATTCCATGTAAATATTTGACCTTTATTCATACAGAGATAGGCACACTAGTGTGCTAATATATATGCACCTGCACGTTTGGTAGCTTATCCACTGGATGTTCTTCAGGCATGTCAAATTTCCTATTAGAAGCAGAGACAAAAGCTACTATAATGACCTTGATGCACACACCAAAATATTTAGGTAATCAGACTAAATGTTACTTACCAACATAATCCAAACAATGATTTCTGTATTTACTAACTAAATAGTAAGCAATATAGTTTTTTAAAAAGAGGGGAAGGGATCACCAAATCTGATACTAAAGCATACTTAAAATTGTGTGGCTGGTGTAAGAAAATACAAGTCTTACTTGGTTTGACTATTGACAAAAATATCCTTAAAAGCAAGATTTCCTATACAGAGAGTAATGGGAAATGTATAATAATTTAGGCAACCACATGAATAATTTGGCAATCCAAATTCTTTGTCCCGAAATATCTACATGGATTTTTCTTATTTGCAAATAACTGCCTCAAAATAAATTTTGATTTATTTGGGGGGCATGTTGGTGGTTCCTCAGTTCTTTACTCTGGGGGTAGAAATAGTATCAGGTGGTGGAGACTGAGTATTTTTTTTTAATTGAAGGTGTTACAAAGATACAACTGTTCAGACCTTTGTCCCTTTTTAGACTAGAGCTGAAAAATACTTAGAAAGTAATGAAATGGGGCATTCTGAGAAATCTTTTATCAGGTAGTATACATGGTATGGCAGGTGACGTTTAGATGGCTATTTCGATGCTTACAAAAACATCTGGTTACAATTTCATAAGGCAGGGCCAACTCCAAGGATGGTTGATTCTGTACCTTCTGCACCCCCAGCCTCCTCCAGCAAGGATCCTAGTGCTGTGCGCCTGCCTCACGCTAGCTGCTCCCAAGACAGAGTGTCAGCCACTATTTGAGAGAAGAGGAATGTTTGCTTTTTGTTTAAGTCCATATATTCAAAATCCAAGATGAAGAAGAAAATTCTGTATTCCCACAATCAACAAATGAAGAGTTGGTTAAAAGTAAAAATGTGGAATTGAAGTACAGTTGTTGTTTTTTTTGTTGTTTTACCATTATTTTACCTACCAATATTGACATTCTTGATTCTTTTAGGCTGACATTCCTGGTATTGTGTAATGGTTGAATGTATCTAAATGGTAATAATTTAAAACTGATGAACATGGAAACTTCTTAGATTTACAAAATTATGTTGTCGAAAGCTTCCTAAAGATATAGCTTTTTACTATTTATTTTCCTTTTGACTAGTAAGGATTCATAAATAAATGTAATGGAAAACCTTTGATCTTAATAAAGTATCTTCAAATTATGTGTGTACTTTCTTGAAAGTTTGTTTTTTTAATTTGGAGATTATACTGTTTCCCATGGTAGAACAAATTCTGTTCACTGATAACTAAGTGATTTATTTGAACTTGCTAGGTCTAAACTTAAGTTTCATATTTGTTTCAAACATCTGTCTGTTACATCAAGGTGGTCAGGAGATGGGATTCACTGGTCTTGCTCTTACCGGTACAGTGCAGCTATTTAAAGATGTGGGGAAATGCGGTGGGGAACAAGATCCCAGCCGGCCCATGAGGCCACGCCCCTCCCCCCACTCCTCTCTGTAGGCAAAGCTAGACTTTTTCTGCTGTGCATATGAGAACAAACTGCTACCTGCTTACACAGACAAGCTAATTAGTATTGGCTTTGCTTCAGCAGTTGAGCCAATTAGTCCCAGTACTGCTTTCACTGAAAGCTTAAAAGTATAGCAGTAAAGAGCAGAATTGTTGAGTTTTTGCCTATTACCAGCTTTGCAACCTTGAGAAAGTCATTTAATCTCTCTGGTCCTCATTTTCTCATTAGAAAAATGGAGACAATAATAGTGCTTACCACATGGGATTGTTTGGGCATGAGATGAAAGAACTGAGCCATGTAAAGTACCGGAACCAAATCTGGGTTAGAAGTATTCACTAACTGTGAGTTCCTGTTTTATAACGATCATTTCTACATCACACAAATTAAAAATAGCTATATAAATATTCTAATTACCCTACATAAACAGTTCTCCTATTAGTGAATTCACTGGAAGCTTCCTCATAAATAATTTCTATTATAAGCTTTACTATTTTAAAAAACTCCATTACTTCTAAGTGTTACATCAGGAAATAATTAGGAAATCCTCAATAGGCAAGTGATCCAATTTTTATTTTTGGCCTCTGGTATGCATTATAATTGATATCAATTTGAGAGAAATATTTCTTAATTGTATCACTGCCCTTTCTTCTGCTACTACCTTCCCTCTCCAAATGCTCGCTCAGTTACTTAACCTGCAGGGATGGGAATATATTCCTTTAATAACATTTACTTTATATGTCTACACAGGCCTAATCACTGGAAGAACAAATTAGAGTTATTAAACATCACACATCTGTACAATTTCCATGTACTAGCTCATTTAATCATCACAACTACCTTACATGGGAGAGAACATCTTTTTCAGTTGAAAAAACAGGGGGGAGGCTTCAGTACCTTGCCCAAGGTGACACAGGTGACAAGTGGGGGGATCAGGGTTTGGATCATGTCTGGCTTCCTCCAGCTCCATGCTGTTTCCCCTGCATTGTGCATCCTGGTGTTGCTGTAACTCGAGCCAAAGCTGGAAACAGTTGAGACTTGGTAATCTTTTTTCTTCACGTATAATTGACAAAGAATTTTCTCAGAACACTGTTGCTTTACTTAGATACCGCTTGATGTCTCTCTGCCTATATGAGTGAGTTAATCTTCAAACAGTGGTTATTACCAGAAACACACAAACATGATAGCAGAATACACAATTTTCTCTTTAGTCTACCTGAGTCCCAGTCCTTAGTGATGAACCATGATTGGTCTAAGTTAACATGACAATATCCTCTTAGCAGTGATTGAGCTGAGTGTCCATTGATTGACAATTTTAGAAAGATGTGGTACATATATACAATGCAATACTACTCAGCCATAAAAAAGAATAAAATCATGCCATTTGTGACAACATGGATGGACCTAGAGGGTATTACACTAATAACTCAGAGAAAGACAAATACCATATGATTTCACTTAATGTGGAATCTAAAAAAACAACATAAATGAACAAACAAAACAAAAACAGTCATGGACACAGAGGACTACTGATGGTTGCCCGATGGGATGAGTATTGGGAGACTGCGTTAAAAAGGTGAGGGGATTGAGAAGTATAAATTGGCTGTTATGAAAACAATCGTGGGGATGTGAGTACAGCAGAGGGAATGTAAATAATATTGTAATCACTTTGTATGGTGTCAGGTGGGTACTGGACTTATGGGGGTCATCACTTCATACGAATATTAATCACTATTTTGTATACCTGAAACTAATGTTCTATTGTATGTCAACTGTAATTGAAAGAGAAAAAAATAATGCTCTGTCCTGCAAACAGATTATACCTTTTATTCAAAAGTCCCCCTGAGTGTTTATCAGACACAATCCTATTTTAGGGCATAATGATGCCCTCATGAAATCCTGGAATATTTAGATGCTTTGTTGCTTGTTATATAACCACAGTCCAAAACAATCAAAAAAATAACAAATAAAAACAAAAGAGCTCTTAGAAAATTTAAAATTTTTAATAAATCCTGATCACTAAAGAAATATACATAAAATTGCAGACTATTCAGAAAGTAACAATAAAACTCCAAATGAGATCAGAATCCATGGAATACAACTAAAACTGAACTCAGGAAAATATGTTGCCTTAAAAGCTTTTCTAAGAAATAAATAAAAATAAACATTGGCTCAAGCAACTCAGGAAAGAACAACATAAGTGGTATTTTGGCTGGGTTGTACTATACACTGAATTTTCCAGGAATGTACTACCATGCCGACCACTTAGTATAATGTTTCCAGGTCCATCCATACTGTTGCAAAAGGATCTCTTTTCTTATGGCCAAGTACTATTCCATTGTGTAAATGTCCCATAGTTGTTTTTTCCACTCATCTACTGATGGGCACTTGGGCTGCTTCCGTATCTTGGTGATTGTAAATAACACTGCAATAAACATGGGGGTGCTTATGTTCTCTCAGATTAATGTTTTGGTTTCCTTCAGATGTATCACATAGGTAGGATCACTAGGTCAAAAGGCAGATCCATTTTTAATTTTGGGCAGTATCTCCATACTGCACTCCACAGTGGCTGCACCAATCTGCATTCTCACCAACAATACAAAAGTATTCCCCTTTCTCCACATCCTAGCCAGCACTTGTTGTTTGTTGATTTATTGATGACAGCCATTCTGAGAGGCATGAGGTGATATCTCATTGTGGTTTTAATTTGCATCTCTCTGATAGCTAGTGCAGTTAAGCATTTTTTCAGGTCTGTATGCCCTCCTTGGAGAAGTGTCTATTCAGGTCCTTTGCCCATTTTTTAACTGGACTGTTTTTCTTTCTGGTGTACAGTCATGTGAGTTCTTTATGTATTTTGGAGATCAAACCCTTGTCTGAGGTATCAGTGGCAAATACACTTTTCCACATGGTTGGGTCCCTTTCCATTTTGTTGATGTTTTCTTTAGCCGTTCAGAAGCTTTTTAATTTGATACAGTCTCATTTGTTTATTCTTTCCTTTATGTCGCTTGCCCTACAGGACACATCAATTAAAACTATTGCTGCGTGAGATATCTGAAATTTTCCTGCCTATGTTCTCCCCTAGGACGTTTATGGTATCACAACTTATATTTGTCTTTTATCCATTTCTAGTTTATTTTGGTGTATGGCATAAGTTAGTAGTCAAGTTTCGTTTTTTTGTATGTACTTTTCCAGATCTCCCAACACCATTTATTGAAGAGGCTATTTTTACTCCTATTGTTTGCCTGCCCCCTTTGTCAAATATTAACTGATTGTATAGATGTGGGTTTATTTCTGGGCTCTCTATTCTGTTTCATTGATCTATGTGTCTGTTTTTATGCCAGTACCAGACTGTTTTATTACAGTGGCCTTGTAATATAATTTGATATCAGGCATTGTGATCCCTCCTACTTGGTTCTTCTTTCTCAAGATTGGTGAGGCTATTCCGGGTCATTTATGGTTCCATATAAATTTTTGAAATATTTGTTCTGCATCTGTGGTATATGTCATTGGTATTTTGATAGGCATTGAATTGAAATGTTTCTGTCTTTTTTAGGTAGGCTGTATTGCTATGGACTTCCTCTTCAGGACTGCCTTTGCTGTGTCCCATAGGTTTTGGGCTATTGTGTTTTCATTTTCATTTGTTCAGTTTCATTCTGAAACTTTTTGATTTTTTCCTTGATCTCACTGTTTAATATTCATTAGCATTCATTGTTTAATAACTTGGTATTCAGTCTCCATGAATTTAACTGTTTTTGTGTTTTTTTTCAGTTAAGTCCATTTGTCCTAGAGTGTCATTCAGTGCCACAATATCCTTATTGATTCTTTGGAAGATCTGTCCATTGTTGATGGTGGGGAGTTAAAATCCCCTACCCTAAGGCTGTTACTGTCTATATCCTTTTTGAAGTCCACCAAGACTTCCCTTATATATTTGGGTGTGCCTTATGTTGAATGCATATATATTTACTATGTTTGAATCTTGCTGATGGATTCTAACCATGAGTAATATGAAGTGTCCTCTGTCTCCTTTTATGGCCTTTGTTTTAAAACAACAGAGGCCAATCTGTTTTGTCCCATATGAGTGTTGCTACCCTTTTCTTTTTCCTGACCATTTGCTTGGAATATTTTTTCCAGCTCTTCACTCTTAGTCTGTGTAGGTCTTTTGTTCTGAGGTGGGTCTCTTGTAGACAGCATATGTGTGGGTCATGTTTTCTTATCCATTCAGCTACCCTATATCTTTTGATTAGAGCATTTAATCCATTTACATTTAAGATTATTATTGATAGGTACTTATTCATTGCTGTTTTCTTCCTTTGTACTGTGTTCCTCTGTCTCTCGTTCTTTTTCTTCATCTTCTTAAAGCAGTAGCTTTAGTATCTCTTGCAGTGCTGATTTGGTGGAGGTGTATTCTTTGAGCCTTCTTTTGTCTGGGAAACTCCTTATTTTGCCTTCCATTTTGAATAAGAGCTTTGCTGGATAGCATAGTCTTGGTTGCAGGTCTTTGATTTAAATTCCTTGGAATATTTCTTGCCATTTCCTTCCAGCTTATAGTGTTTCTTTTGAGAAATCAGCTGCTACTTTTATCAGAACTCCTTTGTATGTCACTTCTTGTTTCTCCCTTGCTACCTTTAAGATTCTTTGGCCCTGGCTGTACTGGCTCAGTGACTTGAGTGCCAGCCTGCAAACCAAAGAATTACTGGT